GAATCATAAAATTATTAATTGTAAATGAATGTTTAGTAACTAGAAAAATATATGTATGTTGACTATGTGTTTAGCATAAAATTTTAATTAAACTGTTATAGTTGTAAGTGTAGGGTTAATAATTTAGAATTTAGAATGAACATTAAATTATAAGACGGAGGTCATGATTGTCTGAGCGATGAAGTCAGTTTCATCATGACAGCTACAACACGTCTACTGCAAACATCATGAGTTTGCCCGGATAGAAGTAACCGGAATCAATTGACTTCGAGCGACCATTATAATGTGGACTCTCTACATCGTAGTGTAGATATAGTGTGTGTTTATGGACATCCTGCACGGGGTTGGCCCGTACGTGCCAACTACTCAAAAACATTTTTGCCCTCATCGATAAATTTCAAGGGATTAACGTTTTACGCGATAAAGAACGTGACAATTAAAAAGTGAATTTTGAAAGTGAACTTTGGATAATATTCTCTGAGCTCAAGAGAGCAACCAAATATAAACACTACCAAAGACAATTTAAAATACATATTCGTTCATCTGAAGTGATGTGAAAAAAATGAACCTAATGAAAAACTACAATGCTTAATTTTGAACTATAAACGAATCGATCTAAAGTTGAAAGTTTAAATAATGAACTATTCATATAATTATTGTGGAAAAAGATGATTTCTAAAAACGAATTGTGTATGGAACAATGGACTGTGAATTACCTACCTAGGTTAGAAATTAAGTACAATAAAATGTTGCTTTAATTGTTTAGCTGTAAGAATCTTGAAGACTCTCAGTCTATAATTATTACTTTAATTAGTGATTATTGGCTTACTCATGTGGGTTGTACACTTGTTGTTTTGATCACGTCTCACGGTAATATTTTAAATGGTAACTCAGGCTATGGCTACGCTAGAAGTGTGGGAGAATCATGCTTCGTCAGGAATGGATAGGCTCGAGCGGTGTGGTTGTCACGGCCTTACAGAAAACCGGCGTGTAACAATCATAGCGTTGTGTTTCGCCGTGTCAGTGAGGTTACCGGAGGCCCAATCCTTCCTCGCCCCCAATCTAGATCTAGAACTTAAAATAATGGCCTAGCTTAGCTTGAGTTGACCGTATTATTAATATAATCCACTGTTAATTTAAATTATATGCATTGTACCATTGTACCTGTGTAATGATTAAACAATGAAAGAGTGATAAGTATGAGACCTATCTATTTTACTATAAAGCCCATATTTTTATAAAAGATATTTTATACGTGCATAGGGTCCGGAAATTTTAATTTTAATAAAATGTATTCGACCAAGGCGGTCTTTATGTTGATGTTGATAACCTATGCACACGGTATATTCAATACAAATATTTTTGAATCGCTTACGTTCTTTTTTTAAATTTGTTATTAGGTCGGTTATAATATTTAATTTTTTAATAAGTTATAAAAGAAGGTAATGTAATCTATGTTTTTAAATGTTTTAAATTTATTGTTATAGCCATTTTTTGTAATTTGTATCTTTCTTGGTACTTTTTTTTTAATAAATTGATGTCCTTTTTTTTGTGTAGGGAAAATCATCAAATGACTTCTCCCGCCCAGTGCCGGGCGGGAGGGAGTGTAAGACTCTTACTGACTAAAACCCCCCTGTTCCTTCTCCTGCTCTGGGCCGAGGTCGCGGTGCCTCATTGCGCTTACCCCGCAACCCCGGCTGAACATCAGCCCTTTAGGGCCCCGTCTGTGGTGGTCTATTGGCTCTTTGAGGCGCGCGCGGAACGCTACGCGCCGTACGCTCTGGCCTGGTTCTGGTCGGGCGGCGAGCTGCCCTCACTCGCCGACCGCAGACCCGTGCTTACGGTGGCCGGAGATCGTCCCTCGATCCCCGACGCCCGTAGTGTCGCCAGTTGCGGCGGCTGGGGCGTGAGGAGGAGGATTGCTCCCTCACGCGGGCCGCCTCTCTCTTTGCGAGCATGACTGGTTCACAAAATGAGGAGACGGCGTCCCAGTTCCTCTTACTGCGCACCATGGCCTCGACTAAGGAATTGTCAATAAGAGTATGAACGAATATTAAACACACTTATTTCAAAAATAACGTAACCTTACACTCCGTTTAATTATAGGTAGTCACTTCTTCTTTATTGTTCAACAAAAATGTATTTTGTGAGTGAAAATGTATCTTAAAAGTGAAAATGTATTTTTGCAAGTAAAATGTATTTTTGTGAGTAAATAAATGTTGTTAATTCGTGTCATTGAATGAAGTTTCATTAATAAATGCAAATCAAAAGAAGTTAACTGAGACGATTCACACATAGGTACATGCACACGTACACAATGACAGAGTGAAGATATTTAATTTATTTTCAACAATCCTGATAGATTATTTCAGTTGATAAAAGAGATAGTAGATAATACGTAAAGAGGTAAAAAAGGACTTACTAAGTTTGAATTACATTTAAGAATAGAAAACACTCTTTGATTCCTTTGTAGAAATTTATTTGTGAAAGGTAAATACATATATGTAGTTGTAAACATTTAATCATAAATAATTATGTGAAATGGTCATCATGAACATGGGTCTAGTGACCATCCTAAAAAACCTATTCTATCGTATCAATCGCATTTACAGGTGGAATTTACTCAATTCTAAAAAATAAAAGTTAAGTTACTAGGTAAAGAATTATGAAAATATTGTTTTAATAAATAATGTCTTCAATTGTAAAGGATTAGAAGAAGGAATTGCTTTACCATACGGATGGACAGATGCACCAATAGGGACATGCTATTTATGTTTAATTAATGATTGAACATAAATATCATGGGCTTTAAACCCTAAAAAAGAGGTTCTATATTATTAATAGATACAGGTATGTATGTCGCAATTGGATCATCGTTGGAATGCCAGCGCCATCTACCCTGGCGATCGACGGAGTCAACGATTCACCAGCTGAGTAATCACGTATCTGACAAACTTACCTTCGAAACTAATTAATTGGAGACTATAATTATGTTGATATCGCCACTTCTTTATTTCGTTGCACTAACATCGCCCGCAGACACCGAAAAGTGAACCCTATAGATGACCTTGAAGTTTCTACTCTTCATATGAAATGCTTCTAACTGATAGTAATTCAATAATAATTGTTTGACTCGTAAACGCGTAAACCGCCGCTTCTCCGTGAAAGAGGCCTTCGAAAATGATATCCATACTACAGACGAATCAGAAATCGTATAGGATAGCAGGTAATCAATCAATTAGTCTCTATGGGATTAGGTCTCCATCGCCAAACAAAAAAAAAGAATAGTATAGAAATTCTTATACTATCACTACCTTCAGGCGAAATATAATAGTTGCCCAAAAGCTAGGGTTTTAGTAAAAATCGTAAAAAAAATACAATATATAGTTGCCCAAAAGCTAGGGTAAAAAATTAGGCTAAAAATCGTAAAAAATATCTTTCATTATTTTCCAAATTTATCACCTATATTTTTACAAATTTACCATTCTAACCACATTGATATAGATTGCTTAATATAAAAATGTTCTATAGGCGACTAATGGCAGATGCATGAATACATGGAGAAAGGTAAAAAATTAGGCTCAAGGTCGATGGTGATGGAAGTCTTCTGTGGTCACCGTCACATCTTCGTCAGAAACTTAAGTTAATAGTGGTACTGCAGAACTAGGCAAATTTCAGGGAATGTACGTGGATCACTCTGTTGGTGCACGGGAAACTTTCTCACAGCAAGTTAAGTGTGATAGAGCCATGCTTCGTCACGAATGAGTAGGAGAGTGATATCACAACCTCACAGAAACCGGCGTGAAACAACCTTAAGCATGTGTTTCGCCGTGTGAGTGAGGTTACCAATTTTGCCCAGCATGTAGATAATGTTAGTTGTATTGAAAAGTTAAATACCCATTTTTTAGAATCATTTTATCATGGCCCTAAACGCACTTAATTAATGCCTTTATCTTGAATTGCGATTTTAAGAAGTGCATTACAAATTACGGCTTGATTGTAAGCATCTTACATCTACATCTCTATTTCTGGTTAAAAGTCGTAGATAATGATATTCTAGTTTAATAGCGAACACTGTTATGCTGAATTCCACTTACGTTTTTATTCATCTTGATAGAAACTTCGAAGATAATCTGGCTAAATCCTTATATAAATTGTTATTGAAACTGGCTCTTTGTCAGTTATTGTGATAACCTCAGTAAGAGCAGTGGTGATAACAAAATTAATTGTATTGTACGCTGCCGTCACATCACAACTCGACATACCCACACATACACACAAACGATTATAAAAACATCCAAACATTACGATTTTCACGATCAATTTCACGAAGTTCGTGAATGAGTGAAAAATTTTAAACAATGTAAACATTCGTAAACATTTTCAATCACAACGTTAAACAAAATTCAGTCTTCTTTCAATTCAAATTAATGTTCTTAAACACGTTAAATAGCTACTAAACGATTTTGGATCATATCCATTGTAATTTATTTGCAGCGTAAAGCCGTAATCCAATTGCATATCTTAAGATAATTACGATAGCTATTTAGTCTCGACATTGACCTAATGCGAGACGTCTGACGCTAAAACTGAGATAGTTAAAGTTATAATTATCTCCATCCACTGCAGACCGCCGTTAACGGTCCAAAACATTCAATAATTGTCCACTTATAAACCGAGAGTTTTTGTAATTACGCAAATCTGTAGAGAACTGTCCAGTGTAAAAATAAAACTCAGCAGTCACACACTGTGGTAGGACGCGCACCGTCAGCCAGGAATACTTTGCGTATTCCGAAAATATTTTAAAATAACGTCTGCGAGAGAGCGCTCGTCGGCACGATAAACGCTCCAGCGAAAAAGAATACGCGGAACGCAAAATAAACAAACGCGAATTAACTAAGTGTGCGGGTCGCTTCATTACTTAAATTTGTGATTAAATGTGTTTTGTGATGCAACCATGGTGTGAGTGGTCTTAGTGTCAGTGAGTGTCATCAGTTACCATGTTTGCTGGCGGAGGAGCCGGCTTCCAGAAGCAGTCAAAGCCGCCGTGGGAAAGTACCAACACCAGTTCTGGAGCAGATATCCCGTACAATCGGTATGTCAAACTATAAATTTATACAAAACCGATGAAGCCAGATGATCACAGAAATCAGTGAATGTTGTTTTATTTATAATACTTACTATAGGTTAATCCGAACGTACCTATTTCCCGTGTTTATTATTTTATTTCAATATTCGTACCGGACACGACGATCAGTTAGGAATAGGATTAAACACAATTTTTACGTGTAATTTAGGTTCGTAGAAATATTGTTTATCAATGAACGGGTTACATACGTAAATCGGTAATTTTATGGGTTCAACGTTGGTTAGTGTAAGCTGTTGCGAGAATTTTGTTTGGTATAATTCTTGCGATACATTACCAGTTAAACTAGTTCAAACGTGGTGTTTTTTAATTTTAAATTACGTACATAGAGACCATAATTCAAGTGTCAGCTTTTTGACGTTTATTATATTTTGTTTTTAAATAAGGTAAACAATAGAGGTTTCTGCCAACCGGACGATTTGGGAATCATTGGGGAAGGTCTGTGTGGCAATTGACATCTTATTGCGTGTGGCTGACGATAGTAAAATATTTTATTTTGCTCTTTTATTTACAAACTTTATTACCTTTTAATTAATTTCGGATTATCAGGTGTTAAAGGTCTTGCCTTTTGTGTTCATAAAAACCTCTAAAAATAGCACTAGACGTTCTGTAGACGTCCCATTTGTAACAAACATTAGATAGAAATACATGTAGATACAGAAACAGTACTGGTTGACAGCCATGTTTATAATATCACTATTATAGGATGCGGGCCGCTCTCATTGGTTTTGTTTATTAATTTTTAAAACACAAAAATCTTTACTATGGCTTTGGTCCGCTCTAGTCATACATCCTGTGTTACTTTTTGAAGTAACGGTGATCAATTACTATTAGAAATATGAAGTGTACATTGTTCTAATAGTAGTACTCTTCTCGGTTTGTAATAAGTAGAAGTATGGATTGTTTAATCATAGAAGAACCATGATCTTGCACGACTACGCCGGCGTTTTACCTAGGTCTCACAGAATTCCGACGTGAAACATCGCCTGCATTATGTTTCACCGTTTGAATGACGCTACTAGAGGCCCAATCCTTCCCCTCAACCCCCAATCTCTGAATCATCAACCTACAAAAAAGCAGCGTGTTTATAACTCCTTCAGTGTTGCGGGTTTCTCTGGGCGGCGATTGCTTACCCGGCGATCAGCCTGCTCCAAAAGAAACCATTAAAAAATGACGGATAAAGAAAATGATGTAAAAAACGGAATGTAATCCATACCTTCTTAAGTTAATTGAATTAAATTCTGTCAATAGACTAATTAAATTATTTATGAATACCTACATTGTTAGAATAATATCACATTATAAGATTATCTGTCTACGCATTTTGTTGCTGTGCCTATGTTTTGTTTGTCTTATTTAATTTTCTCCTTGTAAATATTTTGTGACATCGAAACATAATGATTTCAAAATTTTATAATAAGAACTTTACCTAACTATCTTCTAGAATATAATTTGTTATAGAATATAATATTAAATACAATATACCTATATTAATGTAACATCATAAAATCACCATCAACCTATATACCTATATACATATACCTATATAGTACATCTAGACCAATATTATCCCTAGCTGGGGTCGTAGGCTCTAGGCTCTGCCCAGAGCTGAAGGAGTGAGCGGGGTGGTTTATAGAGCCTGATAGGTACTCCTTGTATCATTATTACTGACTAACTTCCATATTTTCTATTAAAATGACATATAATATTAAGTACACTGCTAAGTTTAATGTTTTGTATTTATAGATTTAATAGTAAAACGGGGGATAGCCTATTAATTTGGTTGAGCTAAGCCCATATCAATAAATCACGGGTAAAACGTGTAAGGTCAGCAATAACGTCCATCAAAAATTAACCAATGGGCCAGTTATATACTTCAGATGGATGTATGGACTCTTAGGTAAAACGAAGTAAGTAACCAATACCCCTTAATGAAAATGAAAGGTACTTAGTGGCTACTTTAGTAACTTTTACAAACTCGTATTTTATATTATTTTTTATCTAGTAGGGCGGCTATAATAATTGCTCACGGATTACCTGATGGTAAGTAATCAGCACAGAACATGGACGCTCGTAGTACCAAAGGAAATAACTACAAGTGCGTTGCCGGCCTCTTGTAGGTGATTAGGGGTTTAAGGATTGAGGATGAGGGGAGGGGGAAGGATTGGGCCTCCGGTAACCTCACTCACACGGCGAAACGCAACGTATGTCTTGCTTTAGGCCGGTTTTCGGTGAGGTCGTTGTGTCACTTCGGCTGATCCATTCGTGCCGAAGCATGGCTCTCATACTAGTATATTACTATAAGTAATTTCTCATCAGCTCTGTAATTTTTTTTTTTATCACATGGTACGATCACCGAGTGGGAAGGTCGTAAGGGCCCGGAGGTTAAGGGAAGCCTTAACTTCTCGACTTCTCATGAATGAGGATGCAGGTTCGAAACCTGGCAAGTGCCAATATGGTATTTTTTACAAGTTAATATTATGTTCATAGTTTGCTTTGTGCAGAATTAATAAAAAAAAAACTAGTTATTAAACGATTAGTAAATCAAAATAAACCTAAATTAGTACCAACTGAACCGAAGTTCGAATAAATAAAAAATACATTTTAAACAAACGAAATTATTGAATTAACGTGTCAATAAATCCAATTATAACATATTATAAATTAAACAAAATAACACAAACTGGTCATAACCGTTGTTTAAACCAAACAATTGCATATCGAAATACATAAGTAAACAACTGATTTATTTATTCGAAGGAAATGATAAATAAAACAATTTGTATACAATTGATGTATCAAGAATCATGTTGTTAATTTAATTTATATAAATGTTGATATCATATCATCATCATCATCATCAGCCTATAAGTTCCCACTGCTGAGCAAAGGCCTCTTCTTCATCACGTTTGCTCAAGTTTTTATTTTGTAAGGTTGGTCGGGTGGGAGTGTCTGACTCTTACTGACTAAAAACACCTCGTACATTCTCCTTCTCTAGGCCGAGCTGCAGTGCCTGAATGCGCTACCTGCAACCCCAGCTAAAATCTTTAAAAGTACACGAAGGATTTTTAATAGATTTTTAAACTTTCTACCCCGTACATCAAAACTTTTGAGTGATCTTTCAGCGGCGGTATTCCCGAACCGATACGACCTTCAAACCTTCCAACGAGCGTACTCCTTCTTAAAAGACCAGCAACACACCTGTGACTCCTCTGGTGCTGCGGGTGTCCATGGGGGGCGCCGATCGCTTACCATCAGGTGATCCGTCTGCTCGTTTACCTCCTATTCCATAAAAAAGATAGAGTGATTGATGAGGACAAAGATGAAAAGAGGAAAGGAGTACTAATTATATCCATCCATTTATAGCACAACCAGCAACCCATATCGACTACATATATCCGTGTATAATGCAAGGATTTTTATGGAATAGGTCGATAAACGTGTGAGTTTCAATTGAAACACTAGACTTGAAGCAATCGGCGCTGCCTGTGTACACTTACGATATCGCAAGTGTATTGTGGGCCTTTTGTAGGTCGCACATTGGGTCGGGTCTCCGGCAAAACATAACACAAGTTTTATTTAATGAATCAATGGTTAGATAAAAGTTACCCAGGGAATAATTTTATCAGGATGCTGTCGTGTCAGAATATTTTGAAAAGACAGTGACAGCAACTAGTTTATTCTGCACCATTTCATCACCGAACTACGCGTCGTGGATAAGGACTTCATCCATATGTGGTCGACATTCCTCCGTACCGTACCACTCGATCCGCGTTCATAATGCGAACTGCTAAAATTTGGAATTCTCTCCCCGCGTCGCTGTTCCCGGATACCTACGATTTAGGAATATTCAAGGCAATGTCCATAGGCATTTTTTGAGTTTGCGTTTTCCACCTTAGACCCCATCATAGTTTTCCATCAGACGTGATAGAGGTCAAACGCGCTCAAATAACTAATAAAGAAATCTAACCATTGAAAAGTCAGCCTTGTATAATGTGAAGTAAATCTGTCTCTTATTGTCTATGTACTTAACAATAAAAAACAAACCATTCTGGTAGCAATTTCTTTATTCATAAAAATACCTTCACTTCAATTAACAGCCAAATTGAGAAATTCATTTATTTTTCATTGAACAGCTAGTCAATAAAGTCGCTGATTGAATGACTTATTCAGCTGGTGGTTTGCGACTCAATCATCGTGGAGACCACCGCTACTATGTAACATGTATATACATATAATATAAATAACCAAATACATATAAGTAAAATGTCTGTACTATGACTGTATGGTACTTGTCAGGTTTCGAACCTTCATGAATAGCAGGCACTTTAGAGTCTAACGCCTATCGTATAGTGAGTTAAAGTGTTCATTTTCAGAAATACACGTGCCTAAACCGCTTCTATATTCTGTGAATGTATGGAAGAGTAATTTGTAAAACATGTAAATAAAATTTTTATGTTTGGAAATAATGACGTTTATTTTTATTTAAATACCCTTTTTTAGTCAGGGGACAATCATCAAATGACTTTTCCCGCCCAGGGTAAAGCGAGAGAGAGTGTCAGACTCTTACTGACTGAAAAACCCCCCGTTTTTTCTCCTGCTCTGGGCCGAGGCCGCGTTGACTCATTGCGCTTAACCCGCAACCCCGGCTGCGGACGTCTATTGGCTCTTTGAGGCGCGCGCGGAACGCTACGCGCCGTACGCTCGGGCTTGGTTCTGGTCGGGCGGCGAGCTACCCTTACTCGCCGTCCGCAGTTATTTTAACACCAATTTAAAATATTTAAGGTAGTGAAGTAAAACTTATGTATTAATCTCGAAACACATCTATCATGAACAAAAAACACGGTGATAGTTTATGGGAAAATAGTAAAATAAGTTTATTTTTAAATAGGATTGTTTTGTTTACTAAGAAAGGTAAGACACGTGATTACATATGACGAGCGACAAACCTCTACCTGGCGACGCACATAGTAACGACAATGTCCAACAGATGGCATTATAAGTCTTACATTTTTTTTTTACTTGCAATAAACTAGTGCTTGACTGCGATCCCACCTGATGGTAAGCAGTGATGCAATCGTTGATGGTAAGGCGCACTAGTTTATTAAGAGCCTATTTACTCTAGCCTTTAAGACCCCTAAATTGTATTCGGACGGAAAGACTGCAGCCGGCAAACTGTTCCAATCCCTCGATGTACGCGGTATAAAGTTTGCGGTTACATCATGCAAGTGAAGTTTGCGCCAAATAAACACATAAAAATCACATCGTACCACTGTTGAACAGTAACCTGCCAGACTGGTCACCTCACCTGGTCAGAAGATCCTCCTTTTCGAACCATATGTGACTTTATTCTCTGTTCCCTAAACTCTATAATGGTGTATCATCAATGCATAGTCAAATTTGGAATGCGCGAGGAATGCCACTTACAGAAAAAAGTGGAGAGAAATCACAAAGGCAGCCACCAAGGACATACCATAACCACGACCACTCTGACAAGAGTGTACGATGAAACGAAACTAATTCATAGTGCTCTAATATTTGGTATGGCATAGTTGTTTGAAGAAACACAGAAACTTCTCGTAGCCGGGGCCGCAGTACTTTACATATACCCGCAATCCCAGGGGTGATATTTCTAAGTCTTCTATCTCAATTAAGTATAAGGTATATTGTATTATAACAGGATGTGACATATTCCCTATAATGTTAAATTCCTGTGGAAAGCTATTCTTGACCTCCCCTAGTAAGTCGTCACATTTATTCCACTGAACTGTGCATTTCTCGAAACCTTATATGTGTAGTGTCTTAGTAGTCACGGAGAAATTGTCACGTGCGTTCAAATGTTAGCTTGTGGTCAAGATTCCTCTACCTTTGACAAGCCGCGCGTAATACAAATACAACAAACCATGACTTGTCAGAACGACGAGTCATAAAGGCCAGTCTTAGTATCCTGTGCCATGTTTCACTAAAGCTACAAGTAAAATACGGTCAAGTGCATATTCTATTGATGCTCACTAGTTTCAAAATAGCCTTGGTCTCTTGTAAATCGCTTAGGACAATCGTAACCGATGTCACATAAGAAGTAAAGGATATGAGACGTAGATAATAATTAAATTTACTGAAAACTAAGACGGTAATCTGTTTATAATATTGTTATGTTACATTAAGGCATTTGCTTGTTCCAAATGGACGAATGTCCGCAGACTAACAGTTTTTTTTTTGTTCAACATTCAGATGCGCCTTAAGGTCACAGCTTATAAGAGCCATCCGCCAATGACTTGCCTCATGCGGCTAGAATTCTTTATATGGTTTTGTATGGTATACGCTCACTACATCAACTCAGTAGCGTGAGCAGATTGCCTCGGTTTTAAGCCCTGCTCGTGCTGACGGCGAGAGAACCACTCGGTGACAACTCGCAGCGTAAATACTTGCCTTGCGTTGACTGGGAGCCGAGTGGACCCCGCGCTGCCCTAGTGCCAATTATGAAGACCAAGTATAGACCTACAGAGGACCAAGTATAGGGCTAGTCCTTTACTTCTGACAGAATAAAGTTGCTTGCAAATTTCATTATATAATGACTTACAGTGTATACTTGTTTATAACGAACGTATGTTAAGTAGCAG